TTCTCTCTCCGGCAGGCATCATCCACAGAACTGCAAGCTGCGGACCGAGAAGAACGCTCCCCCCGCCGCTGCGTCCGCCTCCTGGAGTCCTGCCTTGGGCATCAGATCCCCTGCTGTGACCCCTGCGCCACCTGCTACTGCCGCTTCTTCAATGCTGTTTGCTACTGCAGGAAAATCAGCAGCAGTTCCCCCTGCGGCAAGAACTAGTTCCCGTGCCGCAGGGCTTACTGCTCCTTGCCCAGGCGTGCCACCTCCTCCTCTGCAGCTCTAATAAACCAGCCGTTAGCAAAAGCCACTGCTGAGTGGGAATGGTTCAATGCATCCGTTTGCGATCTCAGGGGAGAGGGGTAGCAGCAAGGTGCTGGTACCCGCACCCAGGTGGGCATCGTGTCCACAAAGCCAAGAGTCCAGGGCACCTCCATGTAAAACAAAATGAGATTTTTTGTTCCAGAACAGCTCCTGCAGGGCCCTTCCTGGTTAGATGAGTGATCTCTCAGCAGGAGGGGTGTCCCAGGAGGTGTCATTTCAGCTGCGCTGGGAGCTTTACTTGTGTTCTTTTCCTGCCAGTATTGCTCATAGCAGCCCAGAGTGCTTTACACCCAGGGACCCTGCAAGCTGTCAGCCCCAAGGAATCACTGACCTGCAGTACAGACACAGCCAGCACAGAGCATCACCTCCTCCACCACTAACCCATAAGCCGCAAGGCACACTCAAGGGGTAAAAAGCATCCGTGGAGGCTGTGCAAAGCCCTAAAAACCCACAGCCGGGCTTTCAGGGATGTCGGACGTGAACCTAGCACCGGGTTGAGGGGGGGGTTTCAACCTGCTTCCTGCGGATGGAGGAGGCCTCACAGGGAACGGCGGCGCTGGGAGGGACGGCAGCCGCGGGGACGGCGGTCCCGCGAATGCTGAGCCGCCGCCATCCCGCTCCCAACCGCCATCCCCTCAGGCACTTCCCGCCCTCGCACTGCCCGCCGGGAAAAAGGCGGGGGCAGGCGCGCGCGCGCAGCCGCGTCACGTGAGCGCCGAGCGGGTCACGTGAGGCGCTGGGAGAGTTCAGCCGTCTTGTCGTTCGCCGCCATGTCGTGTTTTCCCGAGCTGTATTTTAACGTGGATAACGGTTACCTGGAAGGGTTGGTACGCGGTTTTAAGGCGGGGGTGCTCCGGCAAGGTGACTACGTGAACCTGGTGCAGTGTGAGAGCCTGGATGAGGGGAGAGGCCCGGCCGGCGGGCTGAGAGGGAAGCTCGGTTACTGTGAGGGTGGGGAGGGGCTGCGTGGCAGTGGGGAAAAGAGCCGACAGCGGCGCTTTTGAGGCGCTGTCCTCTCTTCACACCCCTTGGCTGAGCAGGCGCTTGGTCCTCCCCGCTCCCGGCTGCTCTCTCCGAGCTCAGATGACTCAGTTTCCCGGTCAGCCTGGCCGTGTGATTGCAACAGCTGATACGGCGGTTTAGGGAAGCGTATGAGCTCCCAGTGCTTTCTTGAGGTGGCCGTATAGCTGTGGTGCACGTCCTGTGGTTGTTGGGAGCCTGGCAGGTTTGTCAGGCTTTGCTGATGAGCCTTGCTTTGTGCTTTTGCTTCCTAAATGGCAGGCAGCGCAGGAAACCTTTTTAAGGCCAGAGGTAAGATTATTGGGGTAATTTAACTTAATCCCTGATACCCATGATCAGTTTTTGAGGAGATCGGGTTGTCTAGGAAAGTACCTGCTGTTATTGAAGGATTGCTAGTGGAAAAAAATCCAGTGCAGATCTTAGTAAATTCACTGGTGAATTACGCTTCGCCTGTAATCTTGAGTCCTCTTTCGAGGCTAATTCCAATTTTTAGCCATTGTCTCTTTTCTAGATCAGTGTGTACAAACCTGGAGAGCTGTGAAGGTTTTGCTCCATGATACGCATTACCTGTGGTCAGCTCATCATCTTATATTAATCAGTGCTAAACTGTTCCTCTATATCTGTGACCTGCTTAACAGTTTTCACTCATTGGTGTCCAGAACCTGGATTGCAAATCACGAAGATCAAAACCACATCTCTATTGAAATAGACTAAAAACATACATATCCAGAGATGTTGATTGTTTTGGTCAATGGGACTATAATTATCAAATTGCTCTTTTTTCTAAAAATACTAGTTAAGCATCAGCTTTATCTTGATGATCATTACTGAGTGATTGAAATTAATATTGACTATCTAGAGGGATCCTTGGCCAGCTGCACTCTGGATGCAGGTTACCTGGAGTTGCTCAGGCAAACATTAAAACAACAGAAAGGGAACAGAGTGCTGTGATGTGCCTCAGTCTCTACCTTAAAAAGACCCAGGATATTTTTACTTAGGATGGAAGCCTCTTTTCAGCCAGACTTTTTTGCAGCTCTTTGCTTGCAGCAGTCTCTATCGTTCTTGCTATGGAGCCCAGGGCCTGAAAGAGGGCAGTGGCAGGTATTCCTGCTCTTGTTCATCAGAAGTCTCAGCATGCCCTAAACTGTCACTTTATGACCTTCCCTGCAGATAACTTCCTCTTTGGAATCTTTCTGTATTTATAGCTTCTCTTTTTTTCTCCCCTCCTTGCCTTCTGAACCAAGTTGCGTAAACTTCGCTCTCCCTTTGAGCAGTGTTTTCTGCATTTGGAATGAGTCAGTCTGGAGTTCCGGTATGTTTGTCTTGGTATTGTCCCTGTCCCGTTCCTGACAGCTCTCTGGTGGCGGCTGCTGCTGCTGTGCTCTTTGGCAAGCTTCATTCAGAGCTTGAAGGCTGTTCCAAGTTCACTGCCAGTCTCATTCCTTCTCCACTTGGCTTTCTGTGCCCCTGTCTAGTGTCCTCTTGTAGGAGGATTTTCCTTCACAGGAGCGTTGCTCTTGATCACTTATATAGGTTTGTGGTCAGACAGTTTCTTTCCTCTGTCCCTTTAGTTCTGATTTTCCTATTTGAATACCTGTTTTCTGTGTTCCGCAGACTTTTATCGTGTGTTCTTTCTCTCTCAGGTGCTTGTCTGCACTAAATCCAGGCAGTGGCTGGCTTATAAGCAGCCAAAGTTAAGTACTTACGCATAAAATAATCGTACATTCTTCTCTACCGTTCCTGTTTTGTCTTCACTGTTGCTACTTTTGTGTGAGTCTGGCTTTGCAGTTAGTCCTAGTCCTGGAGCAAATGATCACCTTGGCCGTGGAGAAATCCTGAAGGATCAAGGCTGTTCTGGGGCTGGCCCTGGGAATTGGGTATCTGGCTGGTCACTGGTATTGACATTGCTTGGAGGATGTTGTGCTTCCACGTCTGAAATGCTGCTCCCTCCTGTGTGTTTGGATCGGTCTGGAAGGAATTGAATTCTCTGCTTCAGGACTTGAGCTGACAGTTTAGTGCTGCCAGAAGGAGGAGATCATGCTGTTCTGTGTGATCCTCTGTCATCTCTGCTTGTCTGATCACAAAGTAAGCCAATTCGAGCTCTTGCTTCTTGATGAGTCAGAAATAGAGAGCCAAATAGGCTCTCTGTGATCAAGCAGGCTCCTGAGCTGGCTTTAAGAAGGGGCAGGAAAACATAACCAGGATTGAGGGGTGGGTGTGACAGCTGTCTTGGCTTAGGCTTTCTCTTGAAACCCTCGGCAATAATATGTTTAATCCCTTCTTTCAGCTCCAAAAGTCCTGGTGCTTTGGTTGTTTCTCAGCCAGAGGTCCTTGTGTGCTCTTCACCTGTGCTGGATATCGCTTGGAACCTCTCTGTTGTAGCCAATTCCTGCTTCTGACACAAGGTGTCAGTGAAGGACTTGGAGCTGCTTTCTTCTGCTTCGGTGGTGTGAGCATGGATCTGTTCTTGAGTGGAATCTGTCTTGGAGAACCAAACTTATGAGTCACCCAGATTTCTACTGTCAAAAGGATGGTGAGCCGTCTCCAGCTCCTAAAAGCCATGGTAGCCTGTTGGAGGTCTGGTATCATCTCTGGAGAATAAAAAGCTGTTGATGCAGTTGGACAGCGGTGCCGCTTTTAAGAAGCAGTGTTCAGTCTGGGACTGGAATGTAGGTTATCGGCAGGCTTTAGTGTTGGTCTGCAATGCTCCAGACTGCAAAAAGTATATGGAGCCTGGGAAGTGTACAAAAGCATCTTCTTTAGAAATAGGACTTTCTTTACCTTCAATTCAGTGTTCACGAGCCTCCTACTGCTAATATTCCTCTTGCTTCCACAGGAATAGTGAAGGAAATGGATTTCTTTCTGACCTGCCAATGTGATAAAGGTGACTGGTACGGTGAAATCCTGCAGCAGGGCATGTCGCCTTCTAGCTGGGTAATGAGGCTGTGAAATAGCCAGCTGAGAAGCGTCAGGTAGTTGGCTCAAGCTCGTTAGCATGGGCCTCTGTTGGGAGAGGCTTTGCAGAGGCTGCATGCCACCTCTCTATGGGTGCTAGTGCTTCTGTCCGTGCAGTCGGCTCAGCTGGGGACTTGCATGCCTTACGGAAACAGTGGTGTGCACGTGGAGGGATGAGATCTGTCCTGTCTTCGGCTTAAGCTGTGTGTGGAACTAGTCTCATGCCCCCGCAGGGGTCTGTCATGCTTTATTTGTGCATCTCAACCTGCAATTTATCAGCCTGCTATGGACTTGTCCCATGGAAGCTCTTGGTTTTTCAGTCCTTGTAACCCCAAGGTGGTGGTGGTGTGTCACATCAGATTGAGGAAGAGCAGAGTAACCATCTGAGCCCCAACAATGTATTTGGGAGGTGAAGGATGGCTAGGAGAAGCAAGTACCTGTGATTCTTTTAGAAAGAAAGGATTTCCAAGACTGTGGTTCTCTCTCTTCTCCTCACTTTGGTCCACAGACCTCCATTTCTAGGATGCATGTGAATCAACAGTGAAATCGGAGAGCTTGAAGCAAGTAGGTCACACTTGTCCTAGACTCTGGCTCTGCGCCAGCTGGAGGGCACAGTAGTCTGCCTGAATGGTACCCTCACACATGCCAGAGCCTTGTTTTCTGTGAAATTAATCTGTAGCAATACATAGCGAGCGCTAAAGTCTTGATACAGGGCTGGATGGTGTCCAACAACTGGACAGGTTGGTTGGTTGTTTTTAAGTCTTGAAGAGTATTTCCAGGGTTGCTCTGCGTAGCCCTTGCTGTCCAGAAGGCCAGTGCTGCTTTTGGTCAACTCAGGAGTGGATTGCTAAAGCCTTGCTATCCTAAGTGCCTCTTCAGTGTAAAGACATCCACTTCTCTCCTGCTCTTTCCTCTTCCCTCTTTCTCCATGCAGAGGAGAGATGATAAAATACTGAAGTGCACTGAGCACGCAGTTGAGCCGCTGTGGGGTGAAGTATGTCTGCCTTCCCGTTGTGTAATGGGACGTTGTGTGCAGGATGGCTAGACGCACCGAAGCAAAGACCTTCCTGAGCAGAGCTGTGGGCTCTTGCCTCCAACAAATGAATGTTGGGGAATGTGTCCTCTGTGCACCAGGCTTGTGCCAAGTGCAGTGTGTGCTTTTGTTTTCATAGTCTCAAGGATCTTTTTTTCTCCCCTGGAGCCTGCCTTTGCTTTATGGTGTTACATGCTGAGTGTTTGCCATATCTCCTTTTGCTGAGAGAAGAGCAGGAGAGGTGCTTCTCCCTTCCACTTTATCACTGTGGTCCTGGAATTTGAGCCCCAAAAGGCTGGAGCTGGGCTTCTCTTTCAGCTTAACCGCGTGGGCAGCGTGTCCTCTCTTGTATAGAGAAGTTGCATTGCTACCAGAGTTGCAGACTACCTCCAAGAGTGCTTTTGGCACGTCAGTCCGTGGTGGAGCTTATGGTGTTCTCCTGGGTGTGGGGGGAATGGGGTAGATCTTTTCCTATGCAGCTCCTTTGCTGTACAACCAGGCAAGGAGAGGCCACTTGATGGTCCTGAAGTGTGGCTGTGCTTAGATCCATCTTGAACTCCGAGAGTGGCTCAGTCTGAACCCCAAACTTGGTGGGTGTAGAAGCCAAGCCATAATGTGGTAGGGACCTTTTGAAAGCACAGTGATGATGCTCTCTGCCTCCTGACAGAGAGGAGCCCTTTGTGAAAAGCTGACCCTTGCTTGCTGGACTGTGCAGGAGGACCGGCCCTGTCCCCAAGAGCTTTCATCTGCCAGATGAGGTAGAGCATATGGCAATGGTGAGACCTGAGTATAGACTGTTCCTGTCCTGTGAACGCTGGCTGCTCAAGAGCAGTAGCCACAAGGCTGGCCTGCTAATCTCAGTGCTTTGTCCTGCGTCCTCCAGTGTAACC